CACTTTCTACTGGTATATCTGAAAATGTGTTACTGGGCACATGAGATGTCTTAACCAGTATATGTTGTGGAGGAATTTACCTACAAGAATAGGTCACAAACAAAACTGGTTTATATTTTCTTCTCAAAAGCAAAAGAATTAGACCAGACGGGGAATAGGAAGACCATCTGTGCCTAATTAAAGGGTGAGACTGCATAACAGCAACAGATGTTGCATTATTGTAGTCAGAAGAGTTTATTGCTAACAGTGGTAAATATTGTGCATGTTGAGTTGGATATTTCCAAGCAATAATTTAACAGACATACTTCCACATAGGCTACCCTTTTCTTCCTGGACTACATTTCATTAGTTTTTAGTGTCATGAAAGGTCACATTGCAGAAGAGGTCTAGATAGCAATATCTTCTACATACTGAGAATGCTGAGGACTGAAAAGCCAACGATATCCATCACATAAAGGCATCTAGTGCTGACAATTAAAAAAATGGGGAAGTCTGCATGAAGAAGGCATGGCAGAAAGGACTAACATTCTTGCAGCTTCACTCAGTTCCTGAAAGCCCTCTTTAAAACTGGAGATAACCACTGTGAGAGGGTTCATGTGACTGCATGTATCGGATGGATTCTGTAACTGAACGGCATTTCAGTTCATAGCATGACACGGAAGCAGGGACTCACCCTTCAATCTGAGTCCATTTCTTCCCCTCAATAATGTCTGCAAGCTGTTTAAAACTAATCTGCACCTATAGCGCAGAGGAGAAGTTGTGGTACATGGAGCAGCAACCTCCTTCAGTCATCATGAGCTTCTGCTGGCCACAGAGGTGGACACACCTTACGTTGCCTGATAATTGAAAGGTTGCATCCAGTTATATCTGTGTTAAAGGCTTTATACGAGCCTCATTCCTCCACTTTTTTACTTCCTATTCTCACTGTTCTGATTTGATGTACAATTATGTACACTCTTATTAATACAACTCCTCACGAAGCCTAGAGTGTGGATTTGGTGTTTTGTGACTATGATGACTCAGTGGGGTATTAGCTACTCATATATAAAGGAATGTTGGGTTTTGTTTGTTTGTTTGTTTTAACTGAGCTTGTTACTTCAGAGTTGGAGCAATCTGAAGGGCTACAAAATTCTGAACTAAATGTGGAGGAACACGTATGTAAATTTTCTTCACTTCCTTTCTTTTGCACAGATTTTAGCTCGTTTTCATTGCTAAAGCAAGGAATGACAATAGCACACAGGTTTTATTACTGCTTTGTGTTTCTGCTTCCATCCCTGTTCTCTTCTTCCCCAGAGAGAGCTTACCATGCACGTCTCTTGAAACAGTTATTCTCTGCTTCTGAGACACACGTTATGGTAAGGGGGTGCTTTGTGGGTAGATTTACAAGTATTATGCTGATAAAAAGGGATCAGATAAAGTCTTGCTTTGTCTGTAAGAGATAAGTTAGAAACTGGGAATGAATGAATGCCTGATCAGTGATCTACAATTACAGGAGCTATGGGAAGCAGTGTCAGGAGAATCCAGAGGTTGCCATAGAAATGCAACAAAGGATGCAATCCTTAGGGACAGTACCTGAGTCAAGTACCAAACGCGCAGGAATTCTCAGTGAATGAAACTCTCAAGATTAAGAGAAAAATAGAAACCATATCACAGATAAAGATAATGGAGCTGTCTGTCCTGTTTGTGATATCATGGGAGATCCCATCTGGATGTCAGCCGTGATCGCTGCTATGCCGCTTTCCCAGCCTTGTTTGGGTGAAATATATAAACCTCAGGAGAACTTTCAGAGCATCAGTGTACATCTGCCGGCTTCTCTAGTTCCTTTTGCTAGGAAATCTAGAAACACATTATCATTTTTGGACCACAACAAGCATTTCTGTTGCTTGTTATGGAAATTCTGTGTAACAGCAGCCTAATGCATTCAACTTTGGGATAACATTTTTCTGAAAGTTTTTGAGTGACTCACCATTTTTAAAAAACAAGAGGGTATTTCCTGGGTAGAGGGAGGGTGTACAAAAATGGTTCTATTTTAAGAAGAGCCTTAACTCTGAATATCCTTCATCCAACAAGCTACTGGAAGAGAGGGTGTCATGCATGCATGTAAACCTCTTTCTAAACCCATTTCTGCATGCACTTCCACATACTTGGAAAAAGAAAGGGAACATAATCTAAAGGTCTGGCAGGATCTGTATTTCTGCTGTTTGGAAACATAATGTTTCCCCCCATCAGAGGCATTTTGGAGTGAAGAAAATTGATTGTATTTCAATCAACTAGAGTTGTGAACAACAAATGTAGACGGTTCCAAACCCCCAAATCCACCACCAGAATACCCTCTAGTGTAAACGAGGGAATAGATGCCATTAATATTGACTGCCTTAATGTATTAGACCATGGAATCTCCAAGAGGGCTTGTTGGTCTTCTGAAAGTAAAATGAGACAGTTTGTTTTTGAGGTGGTGCAGTGCCCTCATTTAAGCATTATTCTTAGAGAGAGGAAACCAAAGTTTATGTTTCAGCCCTGCCACAGATTTCCAGCAGAGAGCCAAATTCTTTAAAAAGACATTCATTCAAGCACCTAGCAAAGTTAAAACAAAACAAAACAATGCAAGCATGATCAACTGGGAATCTAGCAGTCACTAATTCTTTCAGTGATCTAAACAGCTTAATCACTCTGACTCCGGAGGTTAGGTGCTGCTCTTCTGCAACCTGAAGCCTGAGCACACAATCTAAGGCAGACATCGGGGCTCACACGGCAGGGCAGGGAAGGAGATGGGCATGCTCTGAGGTGATCCATCTGCCCATCTCAGAGAGAAGTGTTGAGATGGGATGAGCACCCGGCTGGTGGTGCATTTCTCTCACTGGTGACTGCAGAGGGAACTTACCTACATTTTAATAGCTATGTTTTGATCGTACAAATCCCGTCATCTGACTCTCCCCAAGATGCAATAACATGACTTTTGGGCATGAAAAAGATGTTGTTCACATGACCACAGGGGACTGTGAGGTAGTTATACTAAGAAAAAGCTTAAATTTTATTTAATAAGACAACTATTTTCCTATAGTTTTCCTACCTATCTCAATCAATTAGAAACACCAAATATATACACAGTCAATTGTTTATACAGACTACATTGTGTCAGGAACTCTTCAAATAGCTTGTTTTAGATAATGTATAGGTAAAAAAGGAAGAAGCATTGTAATACTACACATTTTTGCACATTTACAAGCTGTATTTGTAGTCTTGAGTGTATATAGTCAAAATGGGATCTGGGCAATATCTGTAACAAATTATTATTAATTAAAAAAAAAACAAAACAACTGTTTCAGAAGGGAGAAGAACTCTCTCTGAATTAATTTAAAATTCAGCAAATGAGTTTTGACAGGGGAAAAAGAAGAAAACATTTGGAGAGGTCAGACATTTTTTTCAACAAAGTTAAAAACTTGCAATTTTATTCAAGCTGACATTATCATTTCAAATTTGATCTACTATATAGCAGGGATAAATAACCTTAAATGAAATTTTTAAAATGAAACTCCAAAATGAAGCTTTTCATTTCAGCCCACCCTGAAATAATTCTCCAAATTTCATTTTCTTTAGACATTGAAAAAAAAAACCAAACCACAATTATTTTCATATCTCTCATTAAATTACCAAAAGTTCTCATAGAAAAAGATCTTTGCATCTAAGAGAACAATGAAATTCTTAGGCTTCAGAAATATATAAAATACTATTACAGTATTAAAGAGCAATCATATTGTATACAATGCCTGAAAATGAAGCAGTTCTTTTGGTTTGTGTTTTTGATGTTTTTGAAAGCATTGTTGAGACGACAAAATTAGATTAAAATCTTTTATCCAAACTCTGAATTTCAAGTCAGGTTACAGACAGAATCTACAGTAAAAGTAATAGATTTTTTAAGAAAGTTTTATTTTAATTCATAACAGAATAAAGTTATTCATTAAATGCTTGTAGGTGAAAGTTTGGTTAGTGAATATGTTTATCTTCCAATGAAATGCAGTTCTGCAAAATATTTTACTTCAAAATAAATGCACAATAGCAGCAACTTTCGTTGCTTTACGTGCAATGTACATGAAAATTCCACATGATTTACAGGGCTTGATTCCATTCTCACTTGTCAGCTTCGCACTGGTGTTGGTTTAGCGGTGCGATTCCTCTTGATACTGGCTGAATTCCCAGTCTGAGTGAGAGGAGAATCAAACATGCAGGGTTGGTTGTTTTTTTTCTTGTTCAGGACAATGAATAACAATGAGCTTCGCTGGTTCTAGCAGCTTTACTTCATTCTGATGCATATGTTGTGGCCTCTCTGCTCATTAGCACATGCATTCAAGCTCCTGCTAAGCAAAATAGAATATATCTGTAGATGAAAGTGCTCAGTGATTTTCATTCCTTCTGTTCCCACAGCTCTGTGCCCTTAACAACAGCCCTGCATGCTCTACAGGGGCAGCACCAAGTGGCAGTGTATGTTAGGAAGGCACAATGACTCCTTGAGACTCCACATATTTATAAACTGTCTGCTGGCAGCTACAAGCCATGAGACCATGCGTTGTGTGTGCTTCGCCATGGTGGGTCAGATCTGCCACGAGACAGATACGAGAGCAGGAGTGTCCCTTCTGTTCCCTGTGCCCCACAGGGTGTCTGCAGGAAGAGGGATGGTTGCCGTCTTACTGCCAAAACTGCATGAGAGAGAATTCCTGCGTGCCAACCCAACTCACCTGCATCACCACAAGGACCAGCTACAGCCACAATATAGCCCTTAGCTTGCACTGATAAAGCCTGAAAATGCTGCACCCCCAGACAGCATATAAAATGTAACAGAGACCCTTGCGTATGGAGGTTCTAAGGAAGCAAAAGAAATTTCCTTTTTGCTCCCCGTCTCTTCCTCGACTGTCTCTCCCTCCCTTGCTCCAGGTTCAGAATCAGGTCACACAGTAAGCAGGTATCGCAGAGGTAAGCATAGTATGTTACACTTCCCTCAGGAGTCACACTTCTGTGTGCTGTGAGCTAAAGGAGGCAAAGCTGCCTTTCTGACTTCGGTTAAACTGGCAGAAGCTGGCAGCCCGGATCCTTTCGCCTTTGGTCCCGCTTTTGTGGTTCTGCTTGTCGCGTGTGATAATGCTTTCAATCAGCTTCAGTTTTTCATGCTCTTCCTTCAGGAAGAAGTCAACAAGCACACTCTTCTCCTTTTTGATCTGTTCACTGATGTCCTTGGGGATGTCGGGAATCATCCAGTCAACCAGAACACTGAGGAACATCACCAAGTTCTGCAAACACAGCAACAGATGTGAAGCAGGAACCAAAAATCTAAATTACTCACATGAGATCAAAATAAACCTTTGCTATAGCTATGAGGCCAGTATCAGACATATTTTGCTGAGGGCACATACTATTAAGCAGTTGAGTAAGGCCTTAGTTCAAGAAACATCTCACATTTGTGCACAGCTCCCCCTCAGTGGGGTGGCAGAATTAAACACATGCTTCAGTTAGGTTTGAAATGGGAAGGGGCTTGGATTCATCAAATGATTCATGGCCTAAGTAGCTAAAACAGATTTATTCTTTACAGGCGTCCAAAGGTGCTCAGTTCTCAACATCAAATTCACTGAGACTGAGTTCAGAATCCATTATTATGAGTGCAACATCAGTGAAAGCATCCTCCAACACAATCATACCCATGTGTTTCCAATGTGGCCTGAGTGGACAGCAGACAACTTTCATGGTCATTCTGTCCTCAAATGCTTTTGCCTGCTGACAAGCAGGATTTTACACTAGTGCAGCGTACAAGCCACAACCCTGAATGCCAAGTGTCAAGTTCATTACAGGTGATATTCATAACACGGAGGCAAGAAGCAGACTGGGCAAAAAGATTGCTTGTTTGTGAAATTTATAGAGAAATTATGCTTTAGAGTTTTTATTACCATGATAATGCTTTGAAAAATGCTGTGTTGTATAATGCTTCAAAATGTGTGAGAACGTTTGCTGACAAGGCTACTAGCTTGAACCCTCCATCCCCATCTGAGACAATGGAGCTAATTAACCAGGGAACATACTCTGGCAGAATAACAGGCACGCTATTTGAAGCCCAGCATAACTACTTTGTTTCAACTGTTTTGCAGTCAGTGGCGGAAAATTACTGAAAACAGAGCAAAGAAGCAGAAGAGGGCAATATAAACCAGGCAAGACTCATAGTCACACTTAAGAATATTTGGCAGGTGAGGAGAAAAGACAGGCAGATTTTAGTATGAGGTGCTGGCCTAATTTGACTGTGGAGGGATTCTAGATCATGGAGGAGAGCAGAAGGCTTCTGCCATTCAGAAGGCAAGCCATGATAACAAATCTCTTGCCAATGAAATCTCCACACTGGGGAGAATTTGCTCCATTGACTTGTAGAAAGTAGCATAAGACCTTGGAGGATTTATTACTTCTGTTTATTTCTTGCTTTGGGCAAAGAACAGCATTTCACAAGCCTACACAGCACTTAGGTGTTTTTTACAAGCAGTGCCCCTGAGAGTACAAAAGCTGACAGAGTCCACTTAACTGAAATGTTCAAGAGCCTTGAATACCTCTGGGGTATTTTGAGGATCACTCAAAATAGTGCCAGGGGCTAATGCAGGCTGTGGGGCTTTCCTTCCATGAAGGGAGAGGAAACCTCTGCTGAGGGAGTGTGCCACAGTGCTGTGAAGGGAGAACCTGTGCTGCAGCCCGCTGACACCTCAGCAGGCTGGGTGTAAGCACATCAGGCTGGGTATTTGCCAACAGAAAAGCTCTATCGGACATGGGTTTCTTTGGCACAGGTATTACAATTCATTTGTTATGATACTTCTGTGACTGAAATTGCAGCAACTCAACAGACTTACCTGAAATAGAATAACAAAAGCCAAGCGAGCAGATAAGACTGCCCAGTACTGTTTAGAGAACTCATACTGATTTTGGGACCAAGGTGGTTCTCGGTAGTCTTTGAACCTGTTGATGAAGACAGCTCAGTTATCACACAGTTCCAGCAATGTCCTCCTCCCGCACCAATTGCTTTGACTAACGCAATTTTCCAATCATGAAATCTAAGGAATCAAATCCTCCAGATGTTCCTACTTCAACCCTTATTATGAAATACAGCTCCAGAATTAGAGCTGGACTATCTCCATTGAATTTAGCAAGCTTAGTCTGGTTTTCACAGTTGTAACCAAAATCAGAACATTGTTCTAATGTTGGAAATTTCCAGATTTTCCAGGATTTACAAATGTGCCCCTTACTTTCGTTAATGTTAGATTTATCTCAGTGTACAGGGAATATAGTGTTGAAATTAAAGTACAGAGATAGTCCGACGCATTTTCAGACTAAATGAAACAAGCCTGCATTCATCTCACCTAAACCTCGATTAATTTAGGGAATAATTTAGCCCATGTAAAATCTGACTCACACTCTGGTGGTTCCTGTCCTTGCATTAACGACAGGGGGAGCCATGGGAAAGGCACTTCCTAAATTAACTGTCTAGCCTTAGACAGGATAAAACAGAGGCTTAGTGGTTTGGTGTAAAGACTGATGCTTTTAGTAATATCATCAATCATTTGGAAGTAAACAACAGGCTAATAAAAGTCACAGATGCTCCTAAATTGGAAAGTTTTGCAAATAGCAGGAAACACAGAAAGCAATAAGAAATACAGACAGGAAACACAATGAGAATAATCTGGGGAAATGGAAAATAATTAAAAATAAAACAATTGAAGGATCTTTAAAAGGGCAGAGTTTGAAAGAAAATGCAATGAAAATAGCCTGGAGCCTACAGTGGCCAGCAAGTTAGCACAAGTTTGAAATATGGCAGCATGACAGTATGACTTGTGGATCTACAAACAAAAGACATGATGGTGCTGGGGAGTATTAGCCCTTCTCTGCACAGTTCAGGTAAAGCCACACCTGGAATGCTGCATTCAGCCATTCAGCTGCGGGGATTTCAGAGAGCAAAAAGGGAAAAAAGAAAAAGAAAAGAAAAAGATAGCAACACATTGAAAGCTGTTAAGCAAAACAATCCAGGGGCTGAGGAGACTGACTCACCAGAAAAGATTAAAGAACAGCACATGTATTGCTCCACTTTGGTAAATAACAGCCATAGTTGGACATGATAACCATGCACAAATTGTGCCCTTAGGACTGAAAGGGATAATTTAGTGCTGTTCACAGTGTTTGACTAGGAGTAATGGGATGAAATTAAGAAAGGGAAAATCTGTTTTGAATACCACAAAACTCTTCCTGACAGTAAGATTCATTAGACTGTGGAAACTCTTCCATTGGAGGATAATGGAGAAGGTTCATATATAAAATCTGTCAGCTTCAGTTTGCAGGTGCGCTTACCAAAATTACCTTCAAGTTCTATGTACATGGTTTTGCATGTTAAATTATACATTTACAATCCACACACTCCTACATCTCCCCCCCCACCCCCCGCACCCCACACTTAAGAAATGTAGTCTGAAATGTTGGCTGTAATTCTGTGCTGCACCTTCTGGAGACAAAGGACACAAGGTACCACCCACGATGTGGAAAGGGAGGAGGAAGAGGAGGAGAAAACCACTTTAAAATATTATTAATTTAAGGAAGCACTACCTGGGCTGTGTTAGACCCCAGATTATTTGTTTTGTTTGGTGGTGCATACACAGCAGCCAAGCTCTCTGTCCTGTCTTACACGGATTCCTGTTTGGTCCTGTGCTGTGCCTGCGCTGTGAGATTCCCCCTCTAGTACCTTTCTGTACTATGTGGACTTCTGCATGTTGCTCAAGTCTGTGTGAGGGCAGAAGTGAGGGCCAGAGTCAGTTCCATTGAATTTAATCTGCTTGAATACCAAAGCAAAGGAAAACCACTGAGTTTGTTGTGGATTTTGCCTAGCACTATAAATCAATCCCAGTCTTGAAATGGAGCCCAGGTTCACCTGGAAGGGTCACTGACTGTGGCGGGTTTTTCATTTAATGTACTCTGAGCTTCACAAACTATGTAAGTGTTGCAGGACATCAAACCCCATGGAAATTTCAGCCGGCTTGGCTGGAAATCACACTGCTTATGATGCCTGAATCTACATTCAACAGAACACTAGCAAATGATTTATGGTGAAAGGAGATGTTGTCAGAGCTACAAACAAGGTAGCTGGGCCTCCTCCACACCTCCCTTTTTAATTATTCTATGGCACATGGGACTTCAAAGTGCAGTAACCCAGGCCTTTTCTAACCACTATATTCTACAGCTAGTTTCTTGTTTCAGAAGACCATTTTTCCCTCATCTCTTCCATTCTTCATTATTCAAACACTTGATTCAGCAGATATGCTAGGAAATGACCAGTGTTGCAAAGATGATAGTGTTTCAAAAATAGTAAATAACTCTAATTCCACTGAAAAAGGACAAGAATATGAAGTAGTCAATGGGGTTTAAGAATAGGGCACAGAAAATTTCCGAGGGAAAAAAGAAAAATGCACAGTGAGATTAGAGTTATGTTGAGGAAGTAAGGATGGATGGAGAGGACCAGGCAAGACTTACACAAAAGTGAACTGCAGCCAGAGCTAAAAGAAATACGTGAATATATTTAACAAGTATATTGCCTGGGGAGAAAGAAAGACTAGTAGAAAAAATCAAAATGTTTATGTAGGTGGAATTGTGAATTTGTCTAAATCAGCTGATCTATTTCATTTCCTTTTTCATCTAGTCTTTGACAAGAAATTGAAGAAAACATGACTGAATCATAAGGAAGTAGTGCTTCAGCAATGCAGGAGTATGTAAGAATTGTCCAGGGAAAACATTAGAACCCGCCACTGATCACTGGCAGTAGATGAGATGAATCCCAGGGCATTAAGAAAATTAATTCATTCAAAGACACTTTATATATTTGCTGAATATTGGAGCAGACTTGCGTTAAGGGAAAAGATCCTTTAATGACTCCCTATCTGCTGCTGTCTTCTTTCCAGTGTGATCAGCATGCTTTCATGTACTCCATTATCATACCAGATTATAAAGATTAAAAGGGCTAAACCAATAAAAATGTCACATAACTTAGCAAGGTTTGCTTTTAATTTGCCTTCAGCTTCACAAATGTCATTTTGCTCTGAAAAAAATCATTAGAACCAATGGTATGCATCAGAATGGAGTTACAGCAATGTTTACTTGGAAGCAGTGTCAAAGAGTTGACAGCATTGTAGAAAATGCTGCTCAAAATATTCAAAGAATGTATTCTGGATGTTCGGTGGGAGAGTTGTTTCTGGCTTGTTATCGTTATTTTTAAGATACCTTAATCTCTGGCAATGCCCGTAAGGAGCAAAATTCGGGCTTATTGTAACCACATTTATCTCCAGAGGTCACAGAAATCTAAGAATAAGAGAGGTCAGCATGTTCCCAACATATTTGCCAGAAACAGAAAAGCAGATTTTATTTCCAGCTTAAGGGACAGTGTTTGTTGCCTGTCTCTTGGGACACAAGCTAGATAACCCATATTTTATCACAGTGATAGTTCTGTCCAAAGCTGAGGTTTTGATAAGATTCAAATGAGGCCAATGATAATGAGAAACAGTGAATGTGGATGCTGACATCTTTTCCTAATTGTTTCCTGATAATGGAACAGAAATGCTCTCATAGTTGTTTCTCATTCAGACTAGTACATGGTCAAACATTTAGTATATGCTTCTTGTTTGCAATCGATTTTTTTTTTTTTTTCTCAGTGGCATAGACTTGATATTATCAGGCAAGGATGACGTTTATATCTAGTGCGGATTATTCCCTTCACCCTGTATTTTGAATCTGTTGAACCCATGCTAATCTGAGGAGTGCCTTTCATCACCATTGCTAATGCAAACATTTCCAAATACACTGCCACTCATACACCATAAACAGAGGCCAGTGACTGAGACCAGGTAAACAATAGCAAAGTGAAAGCAGCAAAGTGACAGTGAATTGGAAGATCCATACAGATCAAGATGCTTGTTGAAGGAAAATACAGGCTAATTTGGCAATACAAATTAAACTGAGAGCAGAAAAGAATTTCACAAACTTACAAGTCTATCAGAACATATGGAGATGCTGCATACTCTCACACAAAACATTATACTAAGAAATAACTCTTAGATACATACTGAAATGGGTAATAGCAGAGCTCACAGAGAACAATGTTTTCAGAAAAGAAAGAGGACAACCCCCAGGTTTAAAGCACTTTACCCTGTCTGCCACAAGCAAACTGTCAGGTAGAGAACAGCATACAGCTTTATGCACCGGAGAGCTATTTTTCCTTTATGTCTGCCCTCAGCTCTCATCTGACTGGCTCCTGAGAGGCAGCACAGATCCCTTTAACAAAGTTCCTGACACCGGGACATGGCTGTGCTGCGTTATATTCTCTCTCTTTACCTGCTTAAAAGTTAGGAGTCTTATCTATCCACTCATATAGCCCCTGCTGTAGTCAAGGTAAGAAGGTAGGTACATCCCAAAGGCAATCCCAAGAGCAGTGCCTGAGTTAGAGGGCCAGATTTCTTTCTGCATTTACTTTGCTTCCAGTGAAGGAACCAAGATACGTAGTCTTTATGGCTTATAGTTGGATGAGATAAATGTCCTGCTTAAAATGAGTGGGATCCTAAGTACAATTCAAGTTTTCTTGCACAGGAGCAGGAGTTAAATGTGCACAGACTACATTGAATAATGCCAACTTGAAGACTTCTTTCAAAAAAATGACTACATTACAATTTTTAATATATTGTTTAAGATGGGTATGGATTTGCAGGCCTCATTGAAGAGCTTCCATCTACCCCTTCTCAAGCTATTTTAGCAAAATTTCTTATTCCCTAAGAAAATCAGAATGGAAATAAACCCTGATTTCATGGAACATAGGTAGGTAGTCTATATTTAGAAATTTGCAGTCATTCAGAAGCAAGCGGTGGTTTTTAGCTACTTCAGGAGCCTAGCTAGAATATGGTCTCTTAAATAATCAGTGAAAAGAATTGAACTGTTCTGAAAGGCAATTTACAGCACCTAAGTTAGAAGCATAATTACAAAGTTAACTTCTCTCTTTGCTTTTAAGTTGGTGCTTGTTTCTAAATTAATTTATTAGTAGAAGGGTAAAATCAGCAAATATTTAAAAATAATTGAACTTTGTGGGTTTTTTTTTTTTTTAAATCAAAATGTTTGATTTATTTGAAATATTTTCTCACCCTAACTTTAACATGAAGACAAAGGTTTCGGTAGGACAAAAATGTGTATCCTAACTAGCATTAGTTACAAGACTTCCATGTCACACTGAGAGCTGCTCTTACAGATTTATAGAAAAGACTAATAGTCATAACTTAATGGAACCCTATAACAATTTCCAGCTGCCTTAGCTATCTCTGTCTGCCCTGTATATAAAATTTATTTTAAAAACTCTGAATATCAGATATGCATAAATCTAGGGATCATTGGAACTAATAATGAAGAAATCTATCTTTATTTTGAATACAGATTTCTCAAGGACAATGAATTGGACAAGTGAATGGGAGGAAAGAATTCTAAAGCTCTAACCAGAAAACAATACTTGATATCTACAATATCTACAATACTGACAGTATTTTCTGCCAGTATCTGATTATTGAATAAGCCCGTATTGCAAGAAAACACCAATCTGATGCTAGATGGTATGTGAATGTCACCTATAAGATTTGTTTCATCAGTCTGCTCTGCTTGGTAATTAATTTTGTCCCCTTGCTTTGACAGCGATGCATGTTCTCTATGGTGATAGATTTTGAGAATCCCACCTTTGGCACCTTAGCCAAAATTTGATCTCAGAGTAAAACTGCACAATGAAAGCAGGAGACCGAAGACCCAGGTTTGAGAAAGGAGTTTGGGAAAGACAGAGGGAAATGTAGTTTTAGAACCAGAACAGAAGTTAACTACCAGGAGTACCAGATTCAAAAACCTTGGTATGCATCAGAAAAAGACAATGAACGCATGCAGATATATAATGCATCAAAACAAGGAAGGCAAATTAAAGACCGCTGTGTAGTGAAAACAGGAAAGGTAGTGAAAAAATGAAGGCTCTCTTTCCAAAGAAAATGTAAGATCAAGTTTTGTGATGATTTCTTTTCATTGCAGAGGCTAAGCACAGTGTGATTTCACGGGAGTCCAAAAGGAAGGTGAGGCAGGTTGCTGAATACAGCACCAACCCAAGGAGTTCAGTTTTGATCAGACTTGGGTTGTACTGCCTTAAAACAGCTGTTTGAATTTCTGCCTATTTTTATTTAAAAAAAGCAAGGTTACTTTGAGAGTCCTAGAATGATGTTAGTGATTTCTTATGCAAACTGAAACTACTCCATATGCATCTGCACTATGGGAGCCGTGTCCTAGACATTTTGGCCTAGATATTTTAAAGGAAGTTGAGCCTCATTTACCCAGTCTGAAAGGATGAATCTGAAATATAAGACGTTTAGATGGGGAATGGTGCAGGTTTTAAAGATGGGTAGAATAGAATTAAAAACTCAGGTCTCATCAAGTAAACACTGAACTTCATAAAGAAAAAGAAAGCCTGGATATAATTGGTGGGTGTCCATTTTAAAACTCATTGTTTTTAATGAAAGTTATGTCTTTCAATAAAGAAAGGATTTTTTTTTTTTATTTGAGTAAGTCTGCTTAAGTTGTTTGTTTTGCTTTTTAATGCACTGGAAAATGCTTCTAAGAACCTTCTAACATAGTGAGAATACTCTAAAAGCTGTACTCATAAAACTACCTTTTTAAAGACACAAATATTATCTGTTCCCACTTGGAAAAATTTTGGCTGACAAAAGACCCGAAGAAATTACTTTGACTATACAAACTGTCATTAGAAGTACTTTACCTGCAGAATAAAACATCCTGTGCAAACGGGGAGTTTTCTGGCTGTGTTCCAGCCTTGAGATGACTGACATTGAAGTACGAAAGCGTGTGATTAATGAAGCCATGCATGGTTCCATTTTGACTGTATGCATATTGATACATAAGGCGTGGAATGAAATCAGACGTGACAGCAATTACAAAAGCCTGAGAGATGAAAAAAACCCAACCAAACAACAGCATTGTGAATCTATGACTAACATGTTTCAGATTGAGTTAATTCAGGTGATAATTTTCACGTTAAAGTAAGTTTAGAGTGGTGACAAAGTGGGAGTTAAACAGCCAGACCTGGTACAGAACATATATAAATGCACTGTAACCTGCTCTGTAGGTTGTAGTTAGGGAAGTAGATTATTTCCTAGAGCATAGAGTAGCAAAAATAATTAACGTATGGTACATTTCTTCAACTCTTTCCACCCCTGGAGCCATTAGGAGGTTTATCACTAGTTTTAAGAAACTACAACAAGACGTAATAGCTAGCTGGCATAATTTGGAGTATAATTTGGTATACCTACAGTGTTATCTGAGATAAACCAGTTGAGTGTAAGGTAGTCATCCTCCGTTTTCCCCTCTGCATCAGGATTTACACAACTGACATAGGTGGTATAAAACTGGTATAATTGTGAAGTGAATCAGACACAGAAGTATCTCGATCATATCAATAAGAATTCATTAGATTAATTTAAAACTACATTTTTCTAAACAGTTCTTCTGCATCAAAATTATTCAGATGGAGAAGCAGGACTGGGCATTTTGTATTTTCTAAAATTGGGTATGTATATATTTACATTTCTGTCAAGAAAAAGTATCTAACTGATATTTTAATGGAATCCCCAGGGAATAAAAAAGTTTGTTTGACACAGAATATAATCAAGGATCATAAATTTGGAAAGTGTATCCAGATAAAACTGCAAGCCTGCAAAGTTTCACTTATCCAGCACAGATCAGTGCTGGAAACCTGAAATCTATGCCTGACAGCAAAATTCTGGGTGCAGAGCTGAACAGATTTCCTTCCTTAAATCTTGGAAACTGCCAAGCCATAAGTGAACAATGATCCACCCAAGTCAAACAACACTGCTTCCCAGTTGTAATGATAGCTTACATACTGCTACAGAGTGCTGATGTGCTGGAAGCTATTGTACTAGATAAATTGCATAACACCTCTGCACAAGTTTCCCCTTCAGTAGTGGCAACCATCTGCCTTTCTAAAGTGCTTTGATATCTTTAATAATTTACAGTCGGACCTGATGATCTTAAAGGTCCTTTTCAACTTAAATGATTCTCTAATTCTATGGTCTGTGGGTGAAAAACCCACTAGTAAGTATTATGGTCAAACTCCTAGGGAATGAGTATTTTTTATCTTAAAGCATATACAGAAAAAAATTCCTTAAGGAATACCTGTAGAGCAATAAACATAATTAATCTGAATGCCAGACTTGCATTATGTTCATGTAATCATTCATGTTCTATGAAAGAATATATTTTTCTGTTAAGATTTTGTAGCTTGGGGAGTGTGTAACCCAACTTAATCTGCTCTTACAGAAATACATACTCTGTGGGAGAAATAACGTTTAGGGATATAGCTGTATATATCAGAACAAATGCTAATGCTATCTAGTTAAGGACTTTCTGCTAGAATCTAGGATGTTATATTTACATTACTTTTATTCACACCAACAGTTATACTAGCAGAGTAACAGGAAAAGGCATGGGTATGAATAAGAAGTAGACCTATATCAATTATCTGTAGCGTTGCCTGCTTATATCCCCTTCATTGATTGTTATATGAATTAATCTTCCTGTCCTACATAACACAAGGATGGACAGAATGAGATGAGTGAATGGTCATCTCGTTTGTAACTAAATCATATTTTACACTTCCACAAGAATGAATTGGATTATTTAGATTTTATTGTATCTTATAACAATTGAGAAAATTAGACTTCACTTTTAAATTATGTTGGAGGGACAATATAAGCTGCCAGGATCATGGATCGAAACTGGTGTAACCAAATACTTACATTAATGATAACTGAAAGCTTTCCAATACCACTCAAAATGTTATACCAAATTCCTGTAAATGAAAAACAGAACTTAGTAATGGATTTACTATCATTTTCCTTCTTCCTTATTGAATTTTTGGTGTTACCTTCATTGTAATATTCTTTTCATTACTTACCTATATCTTTTGCTCTTACTGTGTCTGGCCTCCTCAGTTCTGTAACAAACTTTTTTGCATCAAGCCGCACTTCTATGATGTTGTTCAGAAGAGCAAACAGAGGTGCCAGAGGGAAGGAGGCAACAAAGAGTGTGACAAAGCCAAACTGGATAACTGGAAGAGAAATATACAACGTTTTTTAATATCTTCTGAAGGGCACTGGTAAATGCAGCTGACAGCAAACTGTTGATCAGCTGTATGGGTTACAAAACCCATAAAACTCCACCTCACTATTTGGTCCCAGTAATAAATATCACAAGGCAAGGCTATGAAAGAGAGAAAGGTTTGTCACTATGCCTTATGGATGTTTCTAATAATGCTTCTAGTATCTAGCACAACCACAAGCCAAAGTAAATAATAAATTTAATAAAGGACAACAGGTTTGGGTTTTATTCTTCTGCATTTATACATAATTAACTGATTAAGACTGTGCTCTTCTTCCCTGTCCTTTTGCCTGTGAGGAAAATGATGCACAAGTAAGCAAGAGGAGAAAATCTACAAGATGTCACTGTTTCTTCCTAGGCTCCTTTGGAAAACTCGGGAAAACCTCGGAAAATTTTGAAAACTTCCTCTTGAAGTCCTAGCAAAGGAAAGTGCTATTGTCACTTTTTTTTGCTGGGTTTGCAATTTAGGTAAAATAGTTTGGGAGAAAGAAAGTACTAGACCACTGGTTCTAAGGAGCAAGTAGTATTGCAATGAAGCACAGACCTCCTGAGTTTTCCATGCTTGCTAGTACAAGTACACAACCAATAAGCCTGTCTTCTTTCACAGGGGAAAAAAAAATGACCAACCAACCAACCAACCAAACAAACAAAACACTCTCACTTTGAAGTGGATGGCGCATTTTATATCATCTTGTTCCCAGTACTAGACTACTAGCACCACGGAGTTCAGCTCAGCCTCTGTAGTACAATGATGTAAACAAAAAGACGCCATTGTTTTCTGAATTAATTATGCCTCTTTTCTGTGGCATAGGATGACCTGTCTTCGTTCACACAAATTATCATCTGAGCAGCTAAGGAGCCAATATCAGCCTGCAAAGGCACAATGCTGACACAACTGTGTTTTACTGACAACTCTCGGTGCTATAGAGATGGTTGGAATAATGTAGGAGAAAACCAAGTGCTTCCAAGCAAGCTGCTTCAGGTTTTGGGTGAGCAGAGCTTCCTTAATTCCCCGTTCTTTCAGTGGTACTTCAGGATCTACCTTATCTGGGTAAATCTCATTTGGGTGCAAGTAGTCTGAAAAGAGCTGACTTTTTATTTCCCACTCTGCAAGTTGCTGAGGAATTAACAAATTGCCTAAAAGGCTGTGTTTTCCATGGAAAGCAGAAGGCAACAGTGGTGAATGTATTTGTGAGACTGGATCATTTCCTTGTAAAACTGCTACATTATGTTAAAGTAATACTTCAGGGAAGTGAGAGAGGTTTATTACCCCAGAAAGAGACTGAAAAGCATGCTGCCCAAATACAAAGGCAGTAATCCCAATGAGATTAAACTAATAAATCTAACTTTGACTTACGCTTCAGAATTAAATAAATAGTAGCATAGAAAAAGGTTTGGTGTGTATCAGGCCCTATTTATTGGGGCTTTTATTTTTGGCAAATCCCTGTAGAAGTTCTCTCTCCACTATGCGAGGAAACTGTTGCACTTTTTGTGAAAATCAGGGGTTTACGTAGCACAACTGCTTACTTTAAAATCATTTCCTTCGCACTGTTGTCACAGCTTACAACTAACTGATAAAAAAGCTTTCTCCAGGATCTTCTTTTGCATGCATCTTATTTTGTGTGCAGATGAGTCTTCTGACTCACTTTCCTGCTTTTCTTTTCTGTGACAATATACTTGCACAGTAAAGTGTAATCCCTGTGCTACATCTATCGCCTTTTGATTTTCATTCTCATTATTTTGCTTTGAGATAAAGAGTATATCCTAACATACACTAAGATGGAGCTTTTTCAAAGCATACAAACATCCTATCCTTGAAATCATACTTTACTGAATATTTTATGTTCAGAGTCAGGAAAAGGAATTAACAAGGAAATAAAAACAGATGTTAGAGTAATGTCCCAAAAAACTATGAAATGCTTAGAAAAATACATGGCATCAAAATATGCCTTATTTGGGTTTAAGTGAATTTAGCAGGAACAGAGCTGGAAGGATTCTGTTAAAAAAAAAAAAAAAAAAAAAAAAAGAGAGATACTTGCAATGCTTTAAGTATAAACCACACACGCATTTGCTTTGATGTTGTTTGCAGCTCCTTTTATTCATTGCCTGGGAAAATGCAGTTTAATTTTTTTTCAAGCTCATGAAAGAATATTCAAGGTATGCAAAGGACTTCTGGACAATTGTGTAAATATATCTTCATAGAAAACTCTACACCAGAAGTGTTTGTGTGGCCATCTTGAAAGCTCTTCAATCTTCTAGCCTCCTACTTATGAAAGTGTGAATGATGCAAAAAGCAGGCAAAAAAAACCCCAAAACCAAAACCAAGCATGCTGTAATTTAGATGGTTTCGTGTAGTAAACTAGCAAAGAATCATTCAAAACAAGCAGCCTGTGAACAGCCTTATCAATTTAAAGGTACTTGCTCCTGTGCTTTGAGGCAAAAGGCTAAAGAGACCGGCAGGTGGACCTCTGGACATCCAGCCTCTTTCATGGCTTTCCTACTTGCCTGATAGGCCAGCCTGGAGACAACAGAGATGAGCATCACCCAGACTCATGGCACAAGTTAGTGAACAAAATGATTGAAGGTTGTGCATAAGAGGAAGTCAAGGACATGGGAAATAATGCCTTCTCCTGGGGCATCAAAGCAGGAGACTAGATGTGCTGTCAGTGACACAGACTTTTTCTGATGAGCAAAAATACCCAAACCACATACTAATGGCACACACGATAAGTCATCTTTACTGTCTGACTTTTTCAGGAAAGAGGCCAAGGGCCCAGAGCTAGCCCATGAGGTTCTCAACCCCCAATGCCACACCTGCAACATCTCATCCAGTCTGAGGCTGGCCGGGCCCTGAAGACAAGAGCTATGAAAGACAAAGAGCATCAAGAGAAGTCTTTCAGACCACAGCACTTCTCAGAAGTCCACTTTTCACAGAAGCTGTTCCTCTGTGAGCAGAGCCTGAACAGAACCCACCCCTAACAAAGAAAGACAGAGCACACACTGTCCTTCTGTCTAACTCTGGCCTCCAAATTATGATTAAGAACACAGATGAAGGCTTTTAAATCATGGATCTGGAGAGTGCTGGCTGGTGTTCTTGTGTAAGAGATACAGAATCTATCCCATGGAAAATATCACTTAGGTTCTACCAGATTCACGGACTGACTAGTCTGAGTAACCCTACTATCTTTTATATCAAAACCTAACCTAAGAGAAGGTAATTGTTTATGATTCTGTTGCTTTTTTTCTTACTTGGGTATCATAGGATCATGTGTTGCTGATGTAAACAATGGAAGAATCGCTCCTGTGCTAACCGACTTTACAAGTCCTAAGAAGAAGCTTTTCAATATACAGCCAAGTCTGGCTGAGAAACTAAGGAAAAGGTGTAATTTACTACTCTTTGGTAATAAGTGTATGCAACAAGCCTACACAAAACAGGCTGATTTAGTATTTTCAAATTCATCCTCATTATAGAGATTATAGAAAAATGCAGGTTTCTCTTCAATGATTCCCTTTTTTTTTTTTTCTTTTGCTCCCTCACACATTGCATTTTTGATGGCTTTTCCTGCTTTAGGGGAAATTCTTCCAAACATCTAAGATTAATCTTTATAATAGTTGGTAGCTACAGACATTGGATCTGATCATTTTCTTCTTAAAATTCAAAAGGGAGTTTTCCCGTTGATTTTTAGCAGAACTTGGATGATGAAACTCTCTTTTTCTCTTTGAGAAAAAATGTTTTCAATTAATTGTCACATTAACCTTGAACTCCTAGAGGGGTTAGACTGGAGAAAGGAAGACTAAATGAAATAAGAATCTGAAAGTCATTGCTGATGTCAGTTTCTACTCACGAAAACTGACAGTAGTGGTATAAATTTCACACATTCACATGCATCATTCAGATGGGTTTGGAGCTGATTTCATAAAGTTTGTTTCATTAGTAATATTTACTGCTACTCTAAACATCAATTTCTTGCCAACTTCTATCACTGCAGGCTAGTTACACATGTTGCAAGCTTGCTACCAGCTGAATGAGGAAATTGCTATACATGCTACCTACTTTGGGAATGCATGTGGTCTGGTGTATTGGACTGGGTCAAAAGTCATTACACAGTTTTAGAAACAGGAAGTTCTAATGACAAATTTGACACATGCTAACAATGACAATTTATGTTTCAGGATTCCTTGAGCAAGATTTTCTGATCACTCAGCAACATTATGAGTGTCTCTGCTGAAGAGTGTCTGCTAAAAAATACAAATATATATCAGTTAATAATATTAAAACAAACAGACATTAGGAATTTCACTGGTGCAAATCAAAACTAAGTGCAGACATGGTATTGACTGACAAGGCCTGTTCAAGAAAGAAGTTCAGCACAGTCTGCTGACAGAAATCAGATTCAGAGTTCAGCTCATTGAAGAAATGACCCACAAAAGCTTTCCCCAAAGGAAAAATTAGAGTTTATTTGCCATGGTGAAGTGTTAGCCTCTTCCTCTCACACTAGTGGTATATGTAAAATGCCACAGAACTTAATGGAGGAGGTCTGCCTGACTTGTAGACTTTGGGTTTTACCCTCTTATGTTTTAGTTTCTTTTCTTTTTTTCTTTTTTCTTTTTTTTTTTTTTTTTATTTAGATATGACTTTTACCTTAAAACTAAATGCCTTGGTCTCGCTGCTTGCTCTATGTTACATCAACTTCCTGACTGAGTATTTGCTCCCTGCTACATCGAAGTCCTGTACTTGATTTTGCTGGACCTGCTTCTGGTTACATGTTTCACTTCTATAACTAGTAACCATTGAAATAAAACTTTGCGCAAGAGTCAGAATCCATTAAACCATCATTCCTACAACTGGCTGCCCTGAATTTTCTTGCACTGTCCACACTGCAGCTGCTGAATCTCCATCAATCAGTTCAGAACTATTGTAGCACAATTCTTCAAGAAAACTTCCATTGC